GACTCCTATGACTCCTCTGAAGGAGGTACTAGAAGGAGACTAGTGAAGGAGGCCTCCAGGATCAGTGATGGAGCTGAAGGTTGATCTACTGAACACTGACTGGAGGAGGAGGGAAAACTTGTGAAATCACATATTTTTCGTTTTATATTTTTGACCTGATGCAGAAATCTGTTGTTACTTTGACATGAAATCATCTTTTTTTAAAATAAATTCTCTCAAAAAGCCAAAATAAATTGATTCGACGTTGAAAGCCATAAAAGGGGAGTAAGAGCTGTATGACTGTATGAATCAGCTGATTACTGACGTACAATCATTCTAATGACGTTAATGAAGCCATGCACAGTTTTACCTGCGGTGGGTCCAGATTGAACCCTTTTTAACTTGTCTTACATTGTTGAACCCTCATAACTTTATTAGTACAGGAGACAGACACGTGGCATTTTAAGAGCTAAAAAACACATCTGAGCTCCGTTAATCAAGTTTACATCCAGTCCAGGTGCCACAAGTTAGAGACTAATTTGGTGGGAGGCGCTGGTTGACTTTACATGAACTGACCATTTTATCATGAGTCTGTTAGGGCCGGAGATGACGTCCAAAAGCCTGTGTGAGTCCATATTAACAATATATTGTATTATTCATGGTCCAGGTTCACTGGGAGTCTGCTGAGACTCTCATGGCGCCTCAGCTCATCTCACCATTTCCAGCAGCCGGTGCAGCAGCTTATTGATTCGGATCTTTGGCGTCCTCGGGAAGCCTCTCTGGTAGCACAGAGTGGGAGCGAGGAGGAAATAATAGAGATCTGAGAAATCAAAGGCAGAAGAAGAAAACATTTCATCTGGGGTCACTGTAAAGAAATCGAGCTTCGTGTCATGAATGGCGAGCAGCTTCACCTCGGAGCGTCCGATGCTCGCCGCGGTCCGATCCGTTCTGGTCTCTCTCTGAAAAGCAAATCAAAAGTTTGGGGTGAGTTTGTGCTTTGGTCGTAAACCGGGGTCAGTGAAAGGCGTGTTGCTGGAGAAACACCTGAAGGAGGCCGACGGTACCAGCGATTGGTCTCCTGGTACGAGTAAAGCTTCATCCCCAGAACAGTGTAGAACCAGAGAGAGAAGAAGGCGCCACCTGGTGGACGATGAAACACAAACATTTCTACATTCAGAGCAGGAAAAGCACAGATGCTGCTCCTGTGCATGTTGGGAGACCGACGTGTTGAAAAAATAAAATGTTTTACTTTAAAAATGCTCATAACTGCCAATAGAAAAATAAACGTAAAGGGTCACCTGTTTGACAAATAAAAGTGAAAATATCGTGGCCAGCCGCTGCGTATAGACAGCGAACATGACGCACATGAACAAATGTGTCACCTGTTGATATGGTCGACTCGTGTGCGATGACGGCAGCAGGAACCAGCACCAGCAGCGCCAGATTAACGAGATGGAGACGGTGAACGCAGGAGGGCGACAGCATTCCCTGGCAGCACATTCAACTTTTATTTTACAGGATACAAGAACAGGTAAAATATTCAAAATGTTAAAGGCAACAGAGAAAAAGAAACCTTCTCCTGGGATCTCTCGAGGAACAAAGCTGTCAGAGCAAACAAGTTGGCAGCTGGAAGAAAGTGAGAGGCCTGTTTATGGACTCATCTCATGTCATGTTCTTGTACCTGTTGTGTAGACCCAAAAGAGTCCTCACCCATCACCAGGTTGACAGGCGGCCAGATGCAGTTGTCCTCAATCAGATGCCCCAACACCTTTTTGACATCTATCAAAAAGCCATGTCTGTTTAGAAAAGGGAAACACAGGAGACGTTACGTAGGATGTATTTGTAGAGCACACA